GGGGGGGGGGGGGGGGGGGAAGACATTTTTAAATAGTGATGTTACATTGGAAAAATTGTAAGAGAAAACAGGCTGGTCAAGGATGGAATTATGAGAATATTGAATATTATGCATATCCGGAAATCTAATCAAAAGAAACATGGGATAAGATTCGAAAGTAACCGATAGAAACACTTGCCTAAACTTGATAACTCACTGTCTGTAAGAGGCCTTCGCGTAGATACGATTAATTAAGTGACAAAGTCCAAAGTATCAGAGAATATAAACTTATTACATGATACATCGGCATGGCTGTGCAATATGTCGGTGAATGTAGCGTGAGAAAAAAGCAGTTGAAATGGTAATTTGAAATTTGCACGCAGACATGTGGTGTTTCTGGAAGATCGTACACTTACGGCGTGATGAAGATGCTCTCCTCTCGTGGTGCTAAAGCCCTTTTGGAGAAAGTCAAATTAAAACCGGGAAATAGAGTAGGACTTATCCTACCAAACCTACCGGAATATCCAGTTGTGGTGTACGCTGCCATGAAAGCTGGACTGGTTGTAACTTTTGCTAATCCTCTATCCACAACTGAGGAGATAACGAGACAATTTAGAAATGCTGAGGTTCAATGTATCATGACGATACCCATGCTACTGGAAGCTGCATTAACAGTCGCGAGGGCTCTCCCAAATTACGCGGCAACTATCAATATCGGAGGAGAAACAGATCTCGAGAAAAAGTAAGATGACTCGGAAGAGGTAAATCGGTTAACATTGAGGTCCGCATGGGTCCGTATTCTGATAGTGGTTCTGCTAGTGTTTTAGGTATGCAAACAATCTTCACTGAAGAATTTCAGGTTGAACTGCCAGAAGTCAAGAGTACGGATATTGCGATCCTGCCGTACAGCTCTGGCACGACAGGTTTACCCAAGGGCGTCATGTTGTCCCATCGAAATCTTGTGGCAAATTTGATTCAATGCTCTTATTCAGCTCTCACCAACGTAAAGCATCCTACTCCGTGTTCTCAGGAAACTGTTCTCTCTGTATTGCCATTCTTTCACATATATGGTTTCAATGGGATCCTCAACTTCCTAATGTGTCACGGAGTGCACATTGTGACATTACCACGATTTACGCCAGAAGATTACTTACGCTGTCTAGCAGAATACAAGCCGACCACGATATTTGTGGTACCGTCTCTGCTACTCTTTTTAGCAACGCATGCAGAAGTTACTGCCAAAGATTTGTCCAGCATAAGGAGGGTAATTTGCGGGGCTGCACCAGCTACTAAGAATCTCATTGACAAGTTTAAACAGAAATTGAATCACGCTGACTGCACAGTCGAGCAAGGTATCTCTGCTGACACTAGTCACGTTTTGTCCAAATATTTAAAAACCCTCGGACATCACAACTTATTCTTCGAACCTTCATGAATGATTTATTCTAGGATACGGAATGACCGAGACAAGCCCTGTCGTGCTGTATACACCACAAGAAACGCCAGTATCCAAGATGGGAACGTGCGGTAGACTCCTGCCCTCGACAGAGGCACGTTTAATAAGTTTGATTGATGGCAGCGATATCACTCTACCACATAACCCCGGCGAGCTTTTGATCAGAGGACCTCAATTAATGCAAGGTTACTTAAACGACAGATCATCGACAGAGAATTCTATTGATGTTCACGGATGGCTTCATACAGGCGATGTAACCTATTATGACGAAGACGGTTATTTCTTTATTGTAGATAGGACGAAGGAGCTCATCAAAGTTAAGGGTAATCAGGTAAGAGATTAAAGGAAGTCAAAGGAATCCAACTCTCGGAGGTTCTCTTTGCATGATCAAAATGAATTAGTCAACCTGGTGCGCTTCTTCCCCTTTAATTCAGTGCTAATGAAAAATCCGACTCACCGTTGCCGGGTATTTGTCCGAATTGATACAAGCGTGTCCCGCATTCCATTTATCATACGGTACTTTAGATCCATTAAAGCGTTGGCTGAATGTATAGAGTTACTACATGAGTACACGTACAACGTTCAAACCATTCGGTGAGTTGTAGTAGCTAAAAAATTTTTAGTCAATGGATACAGTTCTAACCTCGAATGAAAGATGCCACCACTGAGACCCTTTATGTGAATGAGGCAGACGCTCCAAGAAGACCGAAGATTTTTACGACGGTAACGCGTTGGATTTTTTGGTTTCGCTTGCACTAGCTGCATTATTAGTGTAGAATTTTATTTGACCTGTTTTATTGTCAAACGATGAGAATCTACACTTCCTGCACTGTCAACAACGTATTGACAAACAAGTGAACAAATTCAAAATCGTCTATATGGCATTCACGAAGTTAATGTTACTTAAACCTCTTGTTTAGGGCTTTCTCAAAAGGTACAATGACAGTTGATGGGAGAATTGAGACATGCGATTTGGAACCTTGGTGGTAATCATCATGTATTTTCCTATAAAATAATATACAGGGCTGTCTTAAAGTACTCATATTTTCATAGCTATCAATTTACGTCTTCTTTAAATTAACGTACTACCTGAGGACTAACTGGATATCTCGTCGTGCTGGTAGTTTCGCGTCTACAATTAAAAATGTTCACTTCGTATATAATAACTTATTAGGTAAGCTTAAGTGGTTGATCCTAACGCACGTACATTGAACTTACTTTCGCGTATCAGGTATTTATCGAAAAGTTATGCACAATCCTTTTGTATGTATTTTTGAGATGCTACATGTTATTAATGAGGAAAAGTAGTTGTTTTATTCGTAATCGAGTCTTCCGATATTTCACCCTGCTGTGCTTCCCAGTAGACTCGTATACGACTCTCGTAAAAAGACACTTACCCAGATAATATTGTCAAACAAATATCATTGCGATCGAAACGAAATCGAAAGCGAAATCCAAATCGAAAATCTGGTATTAATCTAAAAAAACAGGATTGAACCACTTTGGCTCTGCAAAATTACTTTTAACAATTGCATATGTATTACCATGGGCAGTGTTTCGTTTTGATAATGTTCCGCTCTCCAACAGGTCTATATACGACTTACATTGCGATTAAAATAATTACTGAGAATCCTGACACGTGTAGCGAGAAGAAAAATTCAAAGATGATTCCGATAGATCGATCGAAAAGTTTCATTGTACCATGTCAAACTTGATTCAGGTGATCAAAAGTTATATTTTATCCATGCGACAAGTTACATGTGGATACGGTTCATTTTTCATTAACCATTGAGCTCCGTCTCGTTTCTAAACGAATTTTCGATTTCTGAATGTTTTGCGTTATAAAAGTCTCGGGTTTTCATATCGAATTATCATGGTCAAAAATGTAGCGAAGGATCTAAAGATAAGGATATTGTACTTCATGACATCTGATGACGGCTCATCGCGGGGAAGTAATAATGCGCTCCTTTACATTAGCTCTTAAACGAGTCGGTAGTCTCTTGTTCCATTGGTTCATCTTGGCGAAATGTTAATACCGATTCCTCGTTGTCCACTTCCATTGACTCAACTTGTCCAGTTCCTTTAACGGATACACTACCATTACTTTCGGCAGCTTCATCATTTTTTGTCAAACAAGCAGCTGATTTGTTCTGGCTGTTATGCTCAAACGCTTGAGACTGCCCAACAATTTCAATATTCTCCACACCCTCGATGTTCTTCTTCGCATCTTTCATATTCTCTACGCTTTCCGCACTTTCGACGATCATCGATTTCGTTTCCTCTGCTGCTGGCTGGTCCTTTACGATTACCGTCTCTTCTTTGAAATCCTCACTGACCTCTACAACCAGCTCCGTGCCTCCAGTCTTCTTATTGTCTTGTTCCGCCTCCTTAGGCTCCTCAATAATCGGAATAGGATCAGGAACGATAGATTTAGTCACTCTTACATTATCTGCAATGGTTTCTTCTATCGTCACGGTATCTTCCTCGTTTTTCTTTCGATGCTGATTCGTAACTTGTCCAAATTCAGATCCTGGTTCTTCTACTACTGGTTTTGAATTTTCTGTAATAACGTCCAAATTTTCCTTTGCATCTCTTGGTTGCTCTTTCATCAAATTGTGCTCTTCCAAATCTAGTTTTACAGCTTTTGCAGATACAAGAATGTTTTCATCAACATCTAACTTTGATTCCATTTTGTTCTCCTGGCTAATTGCAGCAATTGTTGATGTTCTTGAATCTTCATTCATTTCTCTGTCTTCCAGGTGCGATGGTTCAATTAATGTCACTTTTGTGTCACTAGTCTTGTTTGTTAACAATGAATTTTCTATACTTGGAGCAGCTTCCAATACAAGCGCAAGACTATTTTGCCCTAATGAAGAGTCTTCAGAATTACTATCAGACACTCCAGAATGTTCAGTTGACTCTTGGATAACTTCTTTATTTTCCAAAGTTTTATCTACTTCAAGAAGATTTTCTGTCATGGGATGTATCGATTCTTCATTGTCGATGGACATTTTATTTTGTACAGGCAGATGACTCAGATCTTTGCGATTCTCACCTGAAGATGTCAATTGTCCTACATTGCTATCTGTGACATTATCTGTATTACCAATCCGAGTAGATAGGTTGTTCTGCGAACAAGGCTTAGTAGTTTCTGCATCAGTTGAAATAAAATCTCTTGCTTGGAACGTTGTCTGCAGTTTCTTTGAGGAATCAGTGGATTCACCTTCATTGTTTTCTAAATCCAGGCTTGGTTGTGAACTCGTATCCTCATTCATGATAGCTTCAGGAACATCCCCAACAATGCCTGGAGTGTCATGGGTCATTGTAGATAAATTCTGCACTCCATTAGAAGTGCTTGAATCTTCAGATGTAATTTGGGATGTTAAGTTTGTCGCAACTGACAAATCTGATGTCGATGGAATGAAATTGGATGATGCTGCATCTGGTCTCAATGAGGTCTGTTCAGATTTGTTGAGAGAGCCAGATAAATTTGTAAGACTTACTGGAAGATTTTTAATTATTGTTGCAGCTGGCATGACTGTGTCTAACAGCGGTGATTCGTTTTCTGCTGTATCTGCAACAATAGTATTCGCAGGTGTGCACTCCTTGACCCATGATTCCATCTCGACCTCATGAGAGTGTTGGGTCGAAGGAGTATCCTCTTCAACAGAGCCATTGACCATTCCATCTCCATTCTCACTTCTTCTAGCTGCAGGACCAGGTTCTCGTGTTGATACAACCAGAATATTCTTCTCAATGGCGCGCATAAATTTATCCACGCGATTATATTCTTTCCTTGGAGCAGTAAGAAGCTCACAGATGCGTTGAACGGTGAAAGGTGCATTAGCAAAAGATTCAAGCCGCTCCAGGAGATTACTCTTCATCGTGTCGTAGTTAAAGTGTTCAACATTAGGACAGGGAGCAAGCTCAAGACTCGGACAACTCTCGTAGAAGTCTGTCATTACCCGTGAGAGTTTTTCTCTGAATAAAGCCTTTATGAGTGTCCACTGATAAACAGGGTCTCCAGTTTTGGCCACCCAGCATAAGTATTCCTCTAGCTCCCGCGGAATCTCCGTTGGACGCAACTTCTGAAATTCGTCGAGAGCTTGTAGTACCTCTTCAGGATTCTCCATTTTTTGGACAGTCGAGCTCCGACTCTTCGTAAAGCCCTGCCGCCACTCCAGGAATGGCCACGCGGGCACAGTGAAAAATGACGTCTAATCGCAAGTAAAAAGTCCAAGGAAGATCCAGAAGAAATTAGTGAAAAAGTCAAAAAACACGCACCGGGCACCAAACTGCCCTCACAGCTAACACTGAGTACTGATGACCTCGGTGGGGGTAACTGCAAGCAAACCAGCAGAGTTGCCAACCTATCTTTCTCTCGACATTTCAATTAGTTCTGATCGCTTAGCGGCTCTTGTTTTTGTCGGTTTTCACTAGTCACTGCCAGTCACGTGCTCTATTCGCGAATACTCGGAGGTGCTCGGGACTTATCGGGAGTCTCTGGTCAAGGAATGATAGCAACGATGCGAGATCTTGCGACATCTATCGAGATATTTGGAGTATTTGGAATCGTCGTGTTGGCTATCTTGGAGGAATTAGATGCGGAATATTTCACACCTCGTTTTTGAATAAATACTTTCCCTTTATCTTTCGATTTTCAAGTATATATCGCATAAAATGTTGCTATTGAAGGTATCTCCCACGGAATTGGAAGGAATCATCTTGGAAGTAACGGGGGTAGCGGATGTGGCCGTGATCGGTGTACCCGATACAATGGCTGGAGAACTACCGAAAGCATTTATTGTTAAACATCCCGGTGCAATCGTGACGCCGGAAATTATAAATGATTACATTACACCTAAGGTATGGATCTATCTTAATTTTTCTATATCATGACTTCCCGCATTTGATAATTATATTATCTATTCGCATATTTTAGGTTGCACCATACAAAAAACTCGCTGGAGGAATAACATTCATTGAAGCAATTCCCAGAAATCCCTCCGGAAAGGTGTTGAGGAATCAACTAAAAGTTTTCGGAAAGTAAATTATGCAATTTATTAAAAGTATTGTTGCGGTACCCAATGGAAAACTGACACGATTGCTTTCGTGTAACTTTGAATTAAAAAAGGAAATCGGAGAAGTTTCGTGGAAAGGAAGAGAGGAAGAAACCAAACATTTGGTGGTTTATTGGATCTTCAACAAACCTAGGAAATGAATTTGAAAAAACAGACGCAACAATACATAAAGTATGAGGGGAGCATGAAGGGACATCCACTGAGATTCATTTCGATATATATTTCATGGCTTTCAACTTTGATTAGACCATTCGATAAAATTACGTGATTCATACATATAGAAACAATTACAATAGTAGATTTATTTAATATTAATATATTTAATAGTATGTTGTAATAATAATAATAATAATTCAGGTAATTATGTTATTAACGAAATAGCACACGTGAAGAATTCGATCGGCATTAATCGTATACCCGAAAGTCGTAAAGGAGTCCTCCCTCCATCGATAATACTTTCTCAGTCTTTTGTGCACTAAACGACAGAATGGAATTCGACCTCCGTTTCATAGGCACCACGATTCGAACGATCATACAAATTTCCTCTTTCTCTTTTTTCTCACACGCTTGCTGATTTATTTAAACTTTCAAGACAATTTAGTTGAAATCTGACTATACTTATTCATCGCAAGCATGATAAACGACTGGCAGCAACGTGTTATTGTAATTTCACTTGTTTTTTTCAAAACTCATGCGAAACCAGATGTTGACGGTGTTTGCTGAGAGTTTTGTCAGCCTTCAATGCAAATTCTCAATGATAAAATCGAAGGACCGTGCAGGGACAACAGCACAAGAGGCCCGCCATAATCGGAATACAGTTGGACAACGAAGTGCTGACGGCAAGCTCTTATGCTGAGAGTAAGTTAAGCGATCGGCTAATTATTAAAGGTAATCAGGGAACAATGTTGATAGACGACTGGATACTTAGAAAAGGAATTTGACAAAAAAAAAAGGGAGACAGGACGATTAACACGACTAGCTAACATACGGTTCTCTTCTCTTTAAATCCTGGTCGTTTTGTTAATTCCGCTTTCCACTCTTCATAGAATCAACGATTGACAGATTTAGCTTCTTCCGTTTAAATCGTTATATTTAATCAAAACCATACTATAGGGGAAGTTCGACAAACCGCATTCAATAATTCTCTGCATTATACCACAAGTGCCTGGGCGAATTCGCTTCGAATACAAGATGGGCGTACAGAAATGCAGATCTCAGAAGAAAGCAATAACGCGGCCCACTAACACTTCATCCCCATAAAGGCGATTCAAAGCCATAAAAGAGATGAAGAAGAAGAGGTACAAGGTCTACAGAAAATTTACCCAGGCACCTCGCGGACCTGTATCAAATATATGCTCATTAAAATCCTTTTACACTTTTAATGCATTTTATATTTTTATAAATCACAATAAAGTAAATAATGAATTTATAGGGAAAATTTGTTTTTGCATATACCTCGTCACAAGTACCTAAATTTGGTAATATAAAGAACTTAAAGGTAAATGTGGGCCGTCGATAGAAGTTTTAACAAGAATAAACATCGAGATTAAGAAATTTTAAAGGTGAAATTGCGATTTTCGCACATACGTTCTATTTCACAACTTCTACGGTTATGCGATAAATCTGTCATCAATAATGAAGTTATCAAGAGAAAATTATTTTACCATTTAGCTTCCTTTAAAGTTTTTACATATATGTTCACACTCCTTTTGATTCATTAGACATCAACAACCATCTTCTTATGTATGTCTGTATTGCCAACCACCTGTAAAATCATCCAACGAGAAAATTCAGTTTTGTTACCAATTCTTATATTACATTAAACTCTATTCCATAAATTCTCTGTTTACCGAGCAAAATTCTTCAAAACTAATCTTGCCATCCTCATCTTTATCAGCAAAGAGGATCGTCTTGTCAACTATTTGTTGTAACTGTGTATCTTTCAGGTTATTTCCCACCATCATTTTAAGCACTTGAAAGAGCTCTCCATTACTGATATACCCATCATTGTCCATATCATAAATTCTGAAGGCAAATCGCAATTTACTTTCCTTATCGCCCTGTAAGAATAAAGAAAGTGCAAGGAACCTCTAAGACAATCCATGTAAGAACAGTAAAATAATACAATGCTGACTGTGTGTTTGTTCACCTTTACACTAAATTGTGAAACCCCCTGAATGAACTCCTTAAAATCAACTTCACCATTTCCATCTGCATCAAAAATGTCAATCACACGCTGAACTAAAGGATTCTGTTGAAGTTCAGGCAGGGACATAAATTCATCAATACTGAGTGCTCCACTATTATCCAAATCGAGTTTGCGAAAGCGTTTGCCAAGTCTCCTGATTTCATCGGCATCGACTACAATTGTTAGAAATACATGAGTTATGTATACGAAATATGAAAAACTATATTAATAACAGAGCGACGTCAACAGAAAAAAAGCAAATAATGAAAAACAGGCGATCTACTTACAATTGGAGCACAACTCCATTGGCAGTGAACTCTCATTTCCCTGAAAATATAAGACAGGTATTTTTTTATTGCAAATATACGCATCAAACGTGATCAGTTTGTAGGTACACTTTCGAATGAAATAGGGGGCTCGGATATTTCGATTTAGCTTGGGGTATGGAAGTAAGATAGATTTTTTGCTTCTACAGGTGGCAGAATTCTGAGAAATTAAGATGATTAAAGGTAAAAGAACACTGAGTTACCATAGTGCGTTAGGTATTATTAATTTTTTCAGTAAAATTCGTTGAAAACGTCAAAATTGATCTGCAACTTTTTGCTCGCGTGCCAGAACGTCTGCGCCAGTCTGCGCTGCCATAAATGGTTAACCTCGCTCACAATTGGTCCAAAGTAGTCGAGCCGTTGGACAAAACTATGGATTGAGTCGTGTCCATTATTATTATTATTAGGAAATGATAATATTTCAACACCCGAATGTCCAAATTTTGCATTGGGAATTTTTTTTTATAAGCGAAAAAGTGAGAAAATACATAAATGACACAAGCTACGTTCCAAAATAAACTGTCAGTATTACGAGATAATTGCGTTTCTCACAGATGCGTACAGATCACTGATATACAAAGATTTTTTAGTAGAAACGCGCCGTCTGAGGTTAGCGCGCCCATTGAAGTCCTATGGTAAAACCTGGTAAAACCATCATATTCAGGTGGTGCGTTTGGGCAGTTTGGGCATAAAACTTATACTCCTGGAAGAGGAATGGTGCAGTTGAAAGTGGCCCCCACATGTTGAAACAGAGATATATCTCTTTCTCACTTCGTAACGTCCAGTTCCCCTCACTGCGCAAGTGCGTAATTTTACTGACCTAACAAAATCTAACCAATCTAACGCAAAACACGAGTTACACATGAAGACTGGAGGAATTTGATTGGAAGCAGCTGTTATGATGTAGTGTAGTGCGCCCGTGCACAGTGAGAGGAAAACTGAACGTTAGGAACGAAGAGAGAGATATATATCTCTCTCAACATGTTGGGGCCACTTTCCACTCATTGCTACCAGAGATGAGTAGGGAGATTGCCAATGAGCCTGTTTTTGGTGAAGCCAATTTTTCTCTGGTTTCGGCGCGCCACCTTAGCGGAGGGCCCTCGAAGCAGTTCCACGTTTTTGATTGGTCGTGTATATATAGTAATACTACGCGTGATAATCTGGAGCTGTGTTTTGGCGCGTCGACGCGCCACCTGAACGAGACTCTCGAACTAGTTCCACGTTTTTGATTGGTCCAATGAATTCGTGTGTTCCTCGAGATCTATGATTTTAAACCGGGTGAACACTTAAATAGGGAGACTTGTATCCAACTTTTTTTTTACAGGATATTACATAAACCGTAGTAATAAGGTAGTCAATACCCTTAATATCCATATGAA